TTACAAAATTATTTTTAAAACCAGCCATGGGAAAATTGAGAAAATACAGAATTAGACAAAATTAAGAATTAAAAAAAAAGTAAAAGGAATTTAGATTTGATGGTTGTGTCAAGCCTGAGCAACCCAGTGTGTTTTGTGTTTTTCTGTGAATGTATATGTTTGTCCCTCTAGTTGTAAACTAGAGATGGGCTTATACAGTACTGTTACTTCTAAATTGTTCTTTTACACTTCTATGAGCATGAGTGTATGCTTACATCAGTGTATGTTATAACATTGTTCTTAAAAGTACGATTACAGCCGGCATTGGTGGCACATGCCTTTAATCCCAGCACTCGGGATCTCTGTGAGTTCAAGGCCTTGTCTACAGAGTTCTAGGACAGGCTCTAAAACAATGCAGAGAAACTCTGTCTTGAAAAACCAAAAAAAAAAAAAAAAAAAAGAGTATTACTTACTCCCCTTGTATGCTTGTGCATTTTTCGCTACTCCAAAAATGTTATGCAATACAGGAAGTATACCCCTGCCCCTTATCCTGTTAACCCAGTAGTGTAGTATGCTAAGATAAAGCTTGTGCCAACTGTGGTGGCACATGCCTATAATCTAGGCTGGTTGCAAGGCTGAGGCAGAAGGATTATTTGAAGCCAGCTTAGATCCCATCTCAATTGGCCATCCAAATGGCTGGGAATATTAATTCAGTAGTAGAATTGATTTCCCTAAGGTCAGTCCTGAGATCCTGGGTTCAATCCCTAGTACTGCATTTCAATTAGGAAGAAAATTACTTTGGTCCATAATTTTATGTCCATAGTTCTGAAATGACAAAGGGGTGGAAATACTAAAATTTTATGATTTTCTGTTCTCCAGTTACATTCATTTTGCCAAAAGTGACATGCTACCTATGGTTTTTATTTTAAGCTTTCTTGTTGTTTTTTAATCTTTGTTTTTGTTATGTATTTATGTGTGTGCCTGTGTGTTGGTATGAGCATATGTAAGTGCAGGTGCCCATCTAGAATGGAAGAGGGTGTCTTATCCTCTGGATCTAGAGTTAATAGAGAATTATAAGCTGCCAGACATGGGTGCTGGAAACCAAGCTCTAGTCCTTTGTAAAGCAGTTTCATCTTAGTTGCAGAACCATCTCTTTAGGCCTAAGATTTACTTATTTATTTATTTATTGACTTGTTCTCTTTCTCTCTGTCTCTCTGTCTCCCCTCTCTCTCTGTGTTTGTTTGAGTATATGAAGATGTGTCATGTGCATATAGGGAGCTCCAGGAGGTCAAAAGGAAATGTCAGATCCCCTGGAACTTCAGGGGGATTCTGGGCCACCATGTTGGTGCTGGGAATAAAATCCAGGCCTTCTGGAAGAGTAGACTGTGTTCTTAACCATTCATCTACCTCTCTAGCCCATCCACCCATCCCTCCTTCCTTCCATCCATCCCTCCCTCCCCTCTCCCCCCTCCCTCCCCTCCATTCATTCATTTGTGGGCTGGTGACAGGATCTCATTATACAGTCCTGGCTGGCTTGAAACTCATGTGGGCCAGGGTTGCCTGAAACTCAGAGATCTGCCTGCCTCTGCCTCTCTAGTGCCGGGGTTAAACATGTGTACCACTATGCCTTGCTTTGTTGGATAAGGGAGCCTCATGCTATAGCGGAGGCTGGCTTTATAGTCACTGTATAACCCAGGCTGGCCCAAACTTAGTGACCTGCCTCAACTTCTCATAAGTGCTGGATAATAGGCATGTTGTGTCACCACATTTGGCTTTAAGCTATTTGCTTTTACCATATATATGTTAATGTTTCATTTTGCATACATGCTCAGATCCTAATATGGAGGTTTGAAAAGTCTGACTTTGGGCTGTTTATTTAGAGCAGCTAAATAAACTCACTATGTAGACCAGGCTGGCCTTGAATTTAAAGATCAGCCTGCTTCTGCCTCTCAAATGCTGAGTTTAAAGGTGTGTGTCACACCTAGTTATTTTTGAGATGGTCTCATTCTGTATCTCAGGCTACTCTTGAACTGATGGTCTTTCAGCCTTAGCTTCCTAGGGCAGAAGATGGAATTTAGGCTTCATTCAGTGTGATTGACTTAAAGTCTGTGAAAGGCTAAATGGATAAAAACTTGACTAATAAGAGCTGTACTTTTAGGGATTCCTACCCTTCCTCATGTACCTACTGGTCTCGGTAGATCTCAAAGCAATCATCAGCAGACTGTTAGTGACAGGGTCTCTGTCCCATTCCTTCCCAGTTCTATTCTTCTAGTATAAGCTGTTGTTGCACAGGATTTTACTGGAACAATTGATGCTATTTTAGGCAAGACTACCTTTTCCATCTTCAAATTTTCCGCTGTATATGAAATGTTGTTTTAATATTCTCCAAAGGAACAAGCTAGCTTCTCTTGGTAGCCATTTAGATTGGTTTCAGATCTCCCCACTCTGCTTCTTATCCAGTAAGTTTTCCCCCTGCTTTGATGGCTTAAGTGCAGGCTTCTTAAATATAAGGTACACTCCTAGTGACCAACTCAGGCCAAATTCTTTCTTTGTAGAGATCAGCAAGAGCCATTGTGCTGTAGGGGATTGTACACTTATTCTACTTAGGTCCCTATGTTACTCTCTGAATTTGGAAAAAGAACACAGATGCTCACTGGGGTGGTTAAAACTTGCAGGGTGCTGGAGGTGATTTAACTTGATGTAACATTAAAATGAGCATTCTCTTGAATTGGGATTGTCATTTTGAGATGCATGGGAATACACATCAGCTGTTTGTGTCCTTGGCTTCTGTAGACTTTAGAATCAAATAATCCAAGCCAGAACTATTTAAGCTGAGGGTAGGCAGATTGCTGAGTCTGAAGCTAGCCTGAGCTACTATGTGAGATTCTGTGTAAAAAGGTGGGTACCTACCCCAGTACCTTGATTTTATGCATAGTGGCTTTGAAATGCCCACCCTTCATCTTAGCCTGCTGCTTTGCCTTCCAAAATTATTATTATTATTATTTTTTATTTTATTTTTTATTTATTTATTTTTTGGTGTTCTGAGAGTCCAGAGATCTCGGTTTTATACATGTGCATATGCATGGGATTGTGCCATCAGCTGAATGCTCCTGGTCACTCCTGGTAATCCCAAGCTTTCCCTGCTTACAGTGCTTACACATGATGCTGCTGGGTCCCCTGGCTGAGCAGATGCTGCTGCTGCTCTCATTTTCTGTAATGCATTATCTTGTAGCTACTTAAACTAATAATGGCTTTCTGCTTTGTGGGACAGGTTTTGGAGTTTGTACTAGTGCCATTCCAAAGTTGATGAAACAGATTTTGGAGAGTGGAATTGTTCTCACCATCCTGCTAGCACAGGAGCTGTGGCTAAACTCATTCTACACTGATGGTTGTAGTTCATATACTTGGGTATCCTGCACCTTGAGATCTGTTTACTTTTATAGTTCACTAGGACACTAGGGAAAACTCAGCAAAGCCTTCTGCCTAGAAAACATGAGATTTCTTCATGAATTGGCTCTTTTTTCTTTTTCCTTTTATTTATTTTTTGTTTGTTTGTTTTTTTATGAGATAGGGTTTCTCTGTGAAAGTTCTTGCTGTCCTGGATCCTTTGTAGACAAGGTTGGCTTAAATGCACAGAGATCTGCCTACTTCCAACTTCCCAAGTTCTGGAATTAAAGGTGTGTACCACAAGCTCCTGGCAGATTGACTCCTTTTTGCTCGACAAAACATGTTATCAGATGCTTTTTTTTTGAAGTTTTTCATTCATTCATTTTCATTAGAACCTGTTTGAGACAGGTTCTAATATATCAAGCTGGCCTCAAATTTGATACACATATATAAATATGTCTGAGGATCACCTTGCATTCCTCCACTTACTGAATCCTGGGATTAAAGACTACCATACCTAATCTTATATTTTTTTCCTTTAAATTAGAATTTGTTGATAATTGATGGTGCTAATTCATTTTTTATTTATTTTTAGTTTTTGGTTTTCAAGATAGGGTTTTTTCTGTATTGCTTTGGAGCCTGCCCTGGAACTCGGTAGACTAGGCTAGTCTCAAACTCAGATCTGCCTGCCTCTGCCCCTGTCTCCTGAGTACTGGGATTAGAGGTGTATTCCCACCATGTCTGGCCTCTTGAGTTGGTGGAATTTTTTCTTGTTTTTTTGTTTTTGTTTTTATTTTGAGACAGGGTTTCTCTGTGTAGCTTTGGAGCCTGTCCTGGAACTTGATCTGTAGACCAGGCTGACCTCGAACTCACAGAGATCCACCTGTCTCTGCCTCCTGAATGCTAGGATTAAGGTCATGTGCCACAACCACCCATTGAGACTTAAGATTTTTGATGAGATTGTGAGGATATTGAGGCAGCCAGGTAAAAATCTGATTAGTTCAGGAGGGATACATGAGTGGTGTTACTGTTTCAAGAGCTGGGTCAGGTCCCTGTGCATACCAAAGTATAGCCAGAGGGGGCCACCTCCTGACTTCACCCCCTTGCCATTTTGTTCCCATTGTAATGAAACTTTAAACAGATGTCAGGCTTACTTAGTGACCCTTTGTGTGTGTGCCTTTGGGAATGCTAATAATTACTTTTTAGTAGGCAAAGGGTCACTGTCCAACGTTTCTTATTTCATAGTTTCATGGGAAAAAAAAATCTGCCTACATGTGTTGAGTGTTACAGAAAAGATTCTGGAATTCTTTATTATGTGGTTAGTTTCCAGGCCACCTTTTTCTTTTTTTTTTAGTAGAAACTAAATTTTTCTTTTGGAGAATAGAATGATCTTAATTTGCAGCTGGATTAAGATCGATCTCCGAATTGTTTGTGTCTTCCAACCTGGTTCTCTGTTCCAAGCTGGTTCACTGTTCACCTCCTGTGCAAAGCAGGCTGCTTACCTCTGAACCAGTTGTTAAAGCAAAGATGTTTTCATTGCGTGGTGTGGATGTTTTTTGTTACACATTACAGGCTTAATGCATGATGTATTGTTTTTATTTATTTTTATTTTATTTTTTGATACTAGTTTTTGGACCAATCGAATACAAAGGCCCCATGAGTGCTGTTTATATTGAGAAGTTTGTTCGCCGGGTGATGAAACCACTTCTCTACATCCCATCTCAATCAGAATTGCTAGATTTCCTCTCGAACTATGAGGTACCTATCTTTCTTATCTCCTCTGTTCCTAAGACCTTCTTCTAAGTTTGAACTGGATTGTTTATATTAAGTGGTTTTTAGTTTTTGTTTTATTTTGGTGTATATTAAATGTACAAGATAGTGGGTTTCATTATGACATTTTCACACTTTTAAAAAAAGTCTCCTGGATTTCAGCAATTAAAAAAAATCTACATTGGTAGCTAGAGAGCTGGCTTAGGGATTAAGAGCATGTAATACTGTCCTTTCAGAGGAAACTAAGTTTAATTTCCTGCGGCCTCATCAGGTGGCTGAAAATTACCTGTAACTCCAGTTCCAGGAGATCCTATGCTTCTGGACTCCTTAGCAATTGCATACACATTCATGTCCCCCTCCCTCCCCCATTAAACATAATTTTAAAAATCACCTTATGGAGAAGCCCCAGTTAAGTTCTCCTTGAGATGCTAGTTATAAGGGTGATTGCCAGGAGAGCTTTAAAAGACTAGAATACTTGCAAAATCTTGTCTGTGTTTTATTTGGGAATTTTAAACAAATGTTGACCTTGTCTCATAGTTAACTCAAATATAGAATTAGTTCATAGGATCTATACAGCTATTCATTTCTAAGAATATTCTTTGATCCTATAGTATTGCACAGTGAGGTACCTGGCTTTTCTTGTCTGTTGTTTAGCCATTTTAAAAAAATGTAAATATTGCCAAGTGGTGGTGGTGGTGCACACCTTTAATCCCAGCACCCAGGAGGCAGAGGCAGAGAGGCAGAGAGGCAGATGGATCTCTTGAGTTTGAGGCCAGCCTGGTTTACAGAGTGAGTTCCAGGACAGCAAGGGCTACATAAAGAAACACTGTCTTGACATAACAAAACAAAAGAAAACATTTAATTGGAGCTGGCTTATAGTTTCAGAGGTTTAGTCTGCTATCATGGCAGGAAGCATAGCAGCATACAGGTAGTCATGTTACTGAAGAGGAGCTGAGAGTTCTACATTTGGATCCCCAGGCAGCAGGAAGAGAATGAGACACTGGGCCTGATTTGAACTTCTGAAACCTCAAAGCCCATCCTCAGTGACATACTTCCTCCAACAAGGCCACACCTACTTCAACAAGTCTATACTTCCTAATAGTCCCACTTCTTATGGACCTATGGGGGCCATTTTCATTCAAACTGTCCCACTGAGTTATCAGTATTTATTCTCAGAATAGAGCGTGGCCCATGTATGAGAGTCATAAGAATGAGATGATAGGATCTAGGATTTTCTTCCTAGATAAATCCCAGCACAATACTAACTTACACCTCTTGTGTGTAGCTAGAAGCTGCAGTGAACTTGCCCAGGAAACTGCTGAGGAATGTAAGAGCTTTAGTCGTGTCCTTGCAAGCCTATTAGATTGTGCTTCCTGCAGTTATTCTACTTTTCAGATGGTTCTTCTTGCCTCTTTTTATAGACAGGAAGATGTAGTTTATTACTATGGACAACACAGTCAAACAGAATGTGGGTCATAGTTATTTTGGTGGCCTTGAAGTGGATTGAAAAAGGAGTAGGACTGAGTATGTGGGATGAAGTTTCCACTGGTTTTATATTTTCTAATTTTAGTTTTTTTAAACTATCATCTCTCTGGTGTTGATACCTTACATATCAAGTGCTTTACTTTTAGAGCGTCTGAATGAACAAAACCATTTGATCTTACCTTCATACCCTACCTACCAAATACCAAGAATATTGTTATTTACAACTTTTATGTTGTATTTGTCCCAAAATAATCTTCTAAAACTTTTTGTGAATTTCTGTAATTTACTTAAGATGATTTATTTAGCATGTCTATTAATTTATACTTAGAAGTTCAATAAACTAAATTTTTTTAAAAATTAAGTTGTATAATAAAAGATCTAGGGTTCTTTGGGGGTGTTTGTGGGTAGTTTGTTGACAAATTGCTAGATGGGAGAAAAACTAATCATTTTGCAGAAAAGTTTGAATGCCCAGCTCCTAATATCATGCTGTTTTTTAAGCACAAATCTGAGTGTTGAGCAAGTATGTAGCATATCTGTTGGTTCATCATTTTTATACTACTGTGAATAGAGAGTTTTACAATGAATTAACGCTAAGGCAGAAATGGTTCCAGTGCCAGTGAGTAAAATCGAGGTGGGGGTGAGGGAGCAGCTGGAGAGATGGCTCAGAGGTTAAAAGCACTGGCTATTCTTCTTGAGGACCCAGGTTCCATTCTTAGGGACCATGTGGTGGTTCACAACCCATCTGTATGGTACCAGTTTCAGGGGGTCCAATCTCCTCAGGTACCAGGCATGTATATAGTTTGCCTACATACATGTAGACACTTAACAGATATATGTAAGTTTAAAAAAGAAAGGGGAAAAAGGTTAAGACTTTTAAAGATGCACATCAAGGTAATTGTTCATAAGGCCACTAGAGGGGTGTGTGCCATCTGCCAAACTTATTCTGCAAATGGCTTATGCTTCCTCAACAGATGTTGAGGTATTAAGGTGTTATAGGAGGTATTAAGGGTTTGCTGGTCATCTGTAAGTAGCTGGTTTCTGCCTTCTTGCTAAAACAGTTACTAACAGTCTATACATCATGGACTGGAGTTATATCACACAGAATAGGTCAAGGGATAACTGGCCACTCAATTGTATCTTGTTTTGCTAAATTATAAAGTTGATGAAGCTTTGTCAAATGCATATATGTGGTGTACATTATTTATGATCTAATAAAGCTTGCCTGGAGATCAGAATGCAAAGTTGGCCATACTAGTTAGCCATAGAAACTGAGCAGTGGTGGCATACACCTTTAATCCCAGGACTTAGCACAAATAATAAAAACTCAGAGACAGATATTGGGGTTCAACCTAAAGATTAGAGAAGCAAATTGACCAAGCCACCAGAGAGCTCTCATTTCTACCAATGCTCAAATTGAAGGGCCAATCCACCAAACCTCAGCATTCAGTCTTGGGAAATTAATCTCCAGCCATGTTGAGGACAGGATTGTCTCAGCATTGTAGAGGTAAGATCTCTCTTGTGGCTGCATTACTTTTCGGATCTTCAGCTTGAACCCTAATATCTGTTTCTGGGTTTTTATTATTTGTGCTATAAGTATTGTTGCTCTGTGCCAGGCAGTCAGAGATGGAAGTGTAATTATGAACAAGAGAGACTGTTTTATACGTTGACAGCAAATGGGGGTATGCTAAGCAAGCCTCAGGAAATAAATGAACAAGAGGCACTAGACTATTGTCTTCCTGAGATGTATGTCTGCGTGAAACTTTAGAATGTAACCTTATTTGAAAATAGGGTTTTTGGAATGATAAAGATAGGTGACTCTTTATGAGTTCTAGGCTAGCCTGGACTATATATAGCAAGTTTTAGGGCAACTAAGGCTACTCCCCCCACATGCCCAAAAAAAGCAAAAGGGTCTTTGCAGACATAATTTATCAAGGGTCTTGTGATTAAATCCTAAATCCCCTTACTGGTGTGTTGTCAGAACAGCAGCTGATATGGAAAGGGACTGAAGGTTGCAGCCACTGGAACAGTGCAGTCTCAAAGCAGGCCAGGCCTGGAGCTATCTGAATTTGGAAGAAGCAGGAAGACTCCTGTCATCTCCCCTCTCCCCCCAATTCTCCAGAGAGTAGAGAGAATGATTCTGTCTGTGATAATTTGTCAGAACAACCCTAGGGAATGAGGCAGTTTCAGATTAAGTGCTGTGATTGAGAGTAGTGATCTGGGGACAGAGGAAGAGCATAGCTAATTTGGAAGGCAGGAAGTCCTCATTAGGAAACAATATTTGAACAAAAACCTAAACAAGATGAAGCCTGTGTGATCTGACCAGACCTGAGAAAGTACAGAGCCCCCAAGGAAGAGTTGGATTGTTCAAGATGAGGGAAGAGGGCAGTGGGAGGAGATGAGGTTTAGGACTGTTCTGTATGGTTGCTGGGAACTGAACTCGGGTCCTCTGTAAGAGCAGTATATACTCTTCACTGCTGAGCAGTCTTTCTAGTCCCCCTTGTTGTGTTTCAAATAGGTGGTACTTTTTACAGTTTATACAACTTTCTCCTCTAACATAATATTTTTTGTTGACTGTTTGGGAGTTTCACACAGTGAAACCCCATCACACTCACTTCCCAATCCTCCCAGGTCCACATCCCCATCCTTACAACTTCCCCCAAGAAAAAGAACAGAAAAACAACAACAATAAAAAGTTCAATTTTTGTTGCCTACATAGTTACTGTCTTATGCTCAAACTCCCATGGTCAGCCCTTTTAAGAAAACTGAGTCCTAGATGGATGTTGATGGCACATGCCTTTAATCTTAGCACTTGGGAGGCAGAGGCAGGCAGATCTCTGTGAGTTCGAAGCCAGCCTGTTCTACAGAGCAAGTTTCAGGACAGGCTCCAAAGCAATACAGAGAAACCCTCTCTCAAAGGGAAAAAAAAAAAAAAAAAAAAAAAAAAAAAGAAAGAAAGAAAGAAAGAAAATGGAGTCCTTTCCCATCCCCACCAGAAACCATTAACTGTGAAGAGCTAGTTACACTTCAGGGTCCCTATCATAGTTTTTAAGAGTTCTTTTTAATGGCTTCCTTTTTAAACTGTTTTTTTTTTGTGGGTGGTTGAGGAGAAGTTGTCACAGAACCTTGTATGTCTCTCATTCTCAATTGTGGGTCTGCACGCCATCAGTACCATTGCAAAAGAAGCTTCCTTGCCCTTTACAGTCAGGGTCATGGACTTCCACATGGTTTCTGGCCACAACACAGACCACGGACTTCATGGTTTCTTATGGCAGTACAGACTGCAAAATCAACACGGCCCTCAGTAGTAGCACAGGCCACAGACATCAGCATCAACATAGTCTCTGGCAGCATTACAGATCACAGACGTCAACATGACCCTCATCTGTAGCACAGGCCATGGACACCATCATGGCCCTCAGTGGCAGCACAAGCCAGGCATCAACACTACTCCATACCATAGCAGGACCATGGTTACAATCATGGCTTGCAGCAGCAGCACTGAGCCACAGACATCAACATGGCCTCTGGTGGCAGGCAGCACAGACCATGGACATCAGCACATCCCCTGGCTGTAGCACAGATCAGAGATATTTAGGTGGCCTCTAGGAGCAGCACAAACCCTGGAGGTCTTTCAAGGAGGCCCAATCAAGAAAACGCACCATTCTTCATCGTGGACATGCTGTCATGGCTCAGTGCCTGGATGATCGTGCAGCTATGCAACGGTTGCTCCAGGCGTGCGCACCCCCCCCACCTCAGCCTTCTCCCACACCTGTCACCCCTGTCAGGTCTAGTCTAGTTCACCCCCTCCACCGTGCATGTGCTGCTCCATTCCTCCATTGTTCCACCTCTCCAGCACATACTTGTTCATCAGAGTAGCTTTGCAAACTACAATTTGTCACACAGTATTTTTTTTCCTCAAACAGCTTTACATGCAATAATATTCATTGATCTGGTTCAGGGTTTCCTGTTTCTAATGCACTGTAAGTGGTGGACCATTACTGTGGCTCCTCTTGGATATCCCACTGTTACCCAGAGTCAGGGTGATCTAGGCAGGGCATCTGGGGGCAGGATCTGTGTGAGCTGCAGGTGACTGCATATCTCTCCACCCATGGTTCTGGCCACCCTGAGTTGTGCTTGCAACCTGCCAGGAGCACTTCTGTCCCCAGCTCTCCTCCTCCCAGCAGGGCAAGTAGTGTGGGCTGCAACAGAGGTTCTGCGCTGCATGCTGGCTCCATTGGCTAATGTCATGTTTTTGCTGTAGCTGCATTCTCCTGCATTGCTCCCATACCCTTCAGTGCCTCAGCTCCTCACTGGCAGTTGATGGACTGACAGCCAAAGCTGCAGGAGGCACCAGCTCAGCAGCAGCATCTCTCATCCATCCAAGCCCTACATGACTGCTGTGGGTCATCAGCTTTGGCCTGTTGTATGGTACCAGGAGAAGTTCTGTACAGTCAGTGTGAAGCTTCTGTTCTCCACTCCTTTGGTGGTGAAGAATGAAAATGATTTTGCTGTGTTTTGTGTCTTACTGTCTGGTTGGTGAATTTCTTATATTCTGTGAGACACATATTGTGGGGTATGTGGAAGTTAGCAGTTCCACTCTGATGAACAAGTAGCTCAAAATGTTTGACAGCTTCAACCAGTTTCTTTGAAGACAAACTCTCCTTCATCCACACAGTATGTGGTACAGCAGTGGGCTGGGGGTGTTGGTGTGAGTTAGAGGATTTGTCTAGTACACACAAAAGCCCCGAGTTTGATTCCCCACCACTGGCAAAAACTAAAAATCGCTACAGTGAAAATAAACTTTGTATTTAATTGTTCTCAAAGGGAGCTGCAAATAATTCAAGTGTTTTTTTATTTTTAAAGATGTAGCATGGAGGCCAGACAGGGGTCCCATGAGACCTTCAAAGAGGGGAGCAAGCAAAGCAGATGTATTGTGGGGAGCAGTTAATTTTAGTTTGGCGTATTGAAGGGCTGTTCTGCAAGCTTTGAGGAGTAGATTAAGCAGCAGTTTGAGGATGTTGGGGAAAGAGGTCCCCAGTTGGGTCTCTGTCACTAACCTGACCAGAAAGGAGCCTTGCCACTTGGAGGTGTTAGATGTGGGGAAAAAGAAGAGACCTGGCTAAGGCAAAGCCAGCCAGATACAACCTGATGTCTACCAAAGGGGGAGGTGAATTTGGAGAGGAAGTGATTGCAAGAGAAACCCAAGAAAGGTACAGTGATGTTGCTGATATAGTTTACTCCGAAACTACAAGAATGAAATTGTGAGCGTGGTGAGGTTTGGTGCCAGGGTTCCATGCTGCCAAAAGAAATGGAGAAGTTAACTGGAGCCTACAGCCTTCCTCAGGTGGTCAGGGTTAGAAAGTGAAATGCAGCAATATATTCCCTATCCATGCCTGGGGTCATGTTTTCATAGATGGAAGATATCAGCTGTTAATCACAAAGCTGACAATACCTCTGTCTCCTAATTGTGTGCTCTTCTTCCTTCAGCCTGGAGTACTCGGCTACTTTGAGTTCAGTGGCTCCCCTCAGCCCCCTGGTTACTTGACCTTCTTCACCTCAGCACTGCACTCTTTAAAGAAAGGTAAAACTGATGTGTTCAGACATGGGCACTGTAGTAGAGGTGTACTATTTTGATGTGTGTTGGCCTATAGTATCTTTATGATTTTATTTTCTAATTTGCTAGGTTCCTTTTCTCAATGTACTTTTAATAACTATCTTGTTTAATTAATTAATTAATTTATTTTTTATAACCAAGTCCATTTAATGAAAACAAACATTTATAGACAATATTTGGGAACTTGGGCGTCGTTCTTTCCAAACTACTTCCAGCTGGTAAGGGGCACTGTCATGGGGGATTCTAAGAAGATGCAGAAATCCTGGCTGTAATCTGTAAGGCTGCTTTGTCCAGTTGTTTTGAATGTAGGATCACCTGGTACTCTGTTTCAGGCGGTCTGGCTTGATCAAACCACATTAGTCTGGAAGGAATCCACATCTTTTCATTTTCTGTGGAAACAAAAATAAAAATCCATTTCCCCAGTAACTTGTCCTTGAACTTAAATTTTGGAGTCAAAGCATTTTTTTTAATTTAATTTATTATTTTACATGTCGATCCCAGTTCCCTCTCCCTCCCTCCTCCCCATCCCTCCCTTCTTCCCTCCCTTTTACCCTCTCTGCCCCCTCACATGCACTCTAACCACCCTCCCCCTCCCATCCCCACACCCCAATTCCATATGTAGGGAATGTCATCCAGTTGGGGTCATGTATATCTGACAGGTCATGTGAAGTAGGGACTAGGGCTTCTCTCCTGTCTCTAGATTAAGGCAGTTATCTCTCCATGGGGGATGTGTTCGCAAGGTCCTTTTGTGCACCAGGGTACATCCTGGCTCCACTGTCTGAGGTCTCTTAGACTGCTCAGTCCCTTCTGGCTGAGACTCATATTCAGGGGGGCCTGAGTCAGTCCCATGCTGGCTTCCCAGCTATCAGTCTGGTGGCCCGTTAGGGCTCCTCCTTGTTCAGGTAAGCTGTCTGTGTGTGTTTCTGTCGCCTGGTCTTGTCTTCTCCATCTGCATCTGGGTTCTACTTGGACTCAGTGTTTTTGTATGGGTGTTTGCTCTTGTTTCCAACAGGCATTAGTTGAGGGCTCCATGGATAAGTTGGTTGTTGATCTCACTATCCAGGAAGGGCTTTTATGGTAGCCTTTCACGGAAGCTCAGATTGTTAGTTGGCGGCAGTCTTGTAGTTCTCTAGACCTTTCTTTGAGTTCAATTTTATCTTCAAACCAATATTGGCTCCTTCTTTTATGCTCTCTCTCTCTCTCTCTTTCTCTTTCCTGTCTTCTATTCCTACCCGGGCTCAGTCTTCCTGGTTGCACGTGTTTTCCTTTCCTCTCCCTCATTTTCTCCTCCTTCTCTCTCCATTTGCTGCCCTCCCCCACTTCCCCTGTGCTCTGGGGACATGTCCCTTCCCGGTTCTGTGAGGGACTTTATATGAATCTTTTAGAATACACCTTGTATCCTAGTTCCTCTGGTGGTGTGAATTATAGGCTGGTGATCCTTTGATCTAGGTCTAAAAATCCATTTGGACTTGAATTTTATGCATGGCGACAGACATGGGTCTATCTGCAAGTCTTCTCACATCCTCATCCAATTGTGCCAGCACCATTTGTTGGAAGATGCTGTCTTACGCCCATTGTATAATTTTAGCTGTTTTGTTGAAAATCAGGTGTTCATAGGTGTGTGGGTTAATACCAGTATTTTCAATTTGATTCCTTTGGTCTACCTGTCTATTTTTATGCCAGTACCAGGCTGTTTTCAGAACTATAGCTCTGTGTAGAGCTTAAAGTCAGGAATGGTGATGCCTCCTGAAGTTCTTTTATTGGCTATCCTGGGTCTTTTGTTTTGGCTATCCTGGGTCTTTTGTTTTTCCATGTAAAGTTGATTATTATCCTTTCAAGGTCAGTGAAGAATTGTGGTGGGATTTTAATGGGGATTGCATTGAATCTGTAGATTGCTTTTGGCAAGATTGCCATTTTTACTATGTTTATCCTACCTATCCAAGAGCATGGGAGATCTTTCCATTTTCTGTTATCTTCTTTAATTTCTTTCTTTAGAGCCACAATGGTCTTATTATATAAGTCTTTTAGTTGTTTGGTAAGTGTTACCCCAAGGTACTTTATGTTGCTTGTGGCTATTGTAAAGGGTAATGTTTCTCTGATTTCTTTCTCTGTCTCTTTCTCATCTGAAAAAAGTAGGGCTACTGATTTTTTTGAGTTTATCTTGTATCCTGCTAGTTTGCTGAAGGTGTTTATCAGCTGTAGGAGTTCCCTGGTAGAGTTTATTGGGTCGCTTATGTAAACTATCATATCATCTGCAAATAGAGACAGTTTGACTTCCTCCTTTCCAATTTGGATCCCCTTGATCTCCTTTTGTTGTCTTATAGCTTTAGCTAGAATTTCCTAGTACGATATTGAAGAGATATGGAGAGAGAGGGCAGCCTTGTCTTGTTCGTGATTTTAGAGGAATTGGCTCAAGTTTCTCTCCATTCAGTTTGATGTTGGCAGTTGGTTTGCTGTATATTGCTCTTAATTATGTTTGGGTATGTTCCTGTTACCCCTGGCCTCTCCAAGACCTTTATCATGAAAGGGTGTTGAATTTTGTCAAAGGCCTTTTCAGCATCTAAGGAGATAATCATGGTTTTTCTTTTTCAGTTTGTTTATATGGTGGATCATGTTGATAGATTTTTGTATGTTAAACCATCTCTGCTTTCCAGGGATGAAGCCTACTTGGTCATGGTGGATGATTTCTCTGATGTATTCTTGAATTCGGTTTGCCAGTATTTTATTGATTATTTTTGTATCGATGTTCATGAGGGATATTGGTCTGTAGTTTTCTTTCTTAGTTGTGTCTTTGTGAGGCTTGGGTACCAAGGTTATTGTGGCCTCATAAAAGAGTTTGGCAATGAACTTTGTTTCTATTTTGTGGAAGAGTTTGAGAAGTAGTGGTATTAGTTCTTCCTTGAATGTCTGGTAGAATTCTGCACTGAATCCATCTGGCCTTGGACTTTTTTTGGTTGGAAGGTTTTTGATGACTGCATCTATTTCATTGCGGGTTATAGGTCTATTTAAGTTGTTTTTCTGTTCTTGATTTAATTTTGGTAGGTGATAGTTATTCAGAAATTTGTCCATTTCCTTTGAATTTTTAATTTCTGTGGAATACAGATTTTCAATGGTATGACCTGAAAATTGTCTGGATTTCCTCTGTGTCCATTGTTATGTTCCCCTTTTCATTTCTGATTTTGTTAATTTGCATGTTCTCTCTCTCTCTGCTTTTTCGTTAATTTGGATAAAGGTTTGTCTATCTTGTTGACAAACAAGATAGACAAACCTTTTCTCAAACAACCAACTCTTCCTTGCATTGTTTTTTTTTTTTTTTTTTTTTATTGTTTCTATTTTTATGGTTTCTATTTTATTGATTTCAGCCCTCAAGTTGATTATTTTCTGGCATCTACTCCTATGGGGTGAGTTCGCTTCTCTCTGTTCTAAGGCTTTCCAGTTGCACTGTTAATTCTCTTATGGGACTATTCTCTGTTTTCTTCATATGGGCACTTAGTGCAATGAACTTCCCTTGTAGCACTGCTTTCAAGGTGTCCCATAAGTTCGGGTATGTTGTGTCCTCATTCTCGTTGAATATTAGAAAGTTCTTAATTTCTTTATTTCTTCTTTGACCCAGGTGTGGTGCAATTGCACATTGTTCAGTTTCCATGAGTTTGCAGGTTTTCTGCTATTTGTGTTGTTGTTGAATTCCAATTTTAAAGCATGGTGGTCCGATAAGATACAGGGGACTATTCCTAGTCTCTTGTATCTGTTGAGGTTTGTTATGCCACCTAGTATGTGGTCGATTTTAGAGAAGGTTCCATGTGGAGCAGGGAAGAAGGTATATTCTTTTGTCTTTGGATGGAATGTTCTATAGATGTCTGTTAACCACAGTTGAGACATAACTTCTGTTCTTTTGTTTCTTTGTTGAGTTTCTGATTTGTGGTCCTGTCTAGTGTTGAGAGTGGTGTATTGAAGTCTCCCACTATAAGTGTGTGAGGTTTTATATGAGCTTTGAGTTTTAGTAGCGTTTCTTTTACAAATGTGGGTGCCTTTGTATTAGGGGCATAGATGTTCAGAACTGAGACTTTGTGTTGATGGATTTCTCCTGTGATAAATCCGAAATGACCCTCTATCTCTTTTGATTAACTTTGGTTTGAAGTCTAACTTGTTAGATATTAGGATAGCCACGCCTGCTTGCTTCTTGGTTCCATTTGATTGGAAAATCTTTTTCCCAACCCTTTACCCTGAGGTAATGCCTATCTTTGAAGCTTAGATGTGTTTCTTGTATGCAGCAGAAGGATGGATTCTGTCTTCGTATCCATTCTGTTAGCCTGTGTCTTTTTATAGGTGAGTTAAGACCATTAATGTTGAGGGTGAGTAAGGACCATTGATTGTTGATGCTTGTTTATTTTAGGTTTGTTGTTGGCAGTGGTATTGTGAATATATTTGTTCTGCTTTACCCTTGGTTTCTGGTGTAGTTGGATTATCTGTTGCCTACATTTTTGTGGGCATAGTTACCTTCCTTGGGTTGGAGTTTTCCTTCCAATACTTTCTGTAGGGCTGGATTTGTAGATACGTATTGGGAAAATCTGGTTTTGTCATTAAATATCTTGTTTTCTCCTTGTATAGTGATTGAGAGTTTTGCTGGATATAGTAGCCTAGGCTGGCATCCGTGTTCTTTTAATACTTGTAGAACGTCTATCCAGGACCTTCTGGCCTTGAGGGTTTCCATGGAGAAGTTTGGTGTAATTTTGATAGGTCTGCCTTTATATGTTACCTCTCCTTTTTTCCTTCACTGCTCTTAATATTCTTTCTTTATTCTGTATGCTAGGTGTTTTGATTATTATATGTTGAGGGTCTTTTTTTCTTTGGTCCAGCCTATTTGGGGTTCGGTATGCTTCTTGTCCTTTCATGGGCATGTCCTTCTTCAGATTTGGAAAGTTTTCCTCGATGATTTTGTTGAATATATTTTCGGCACCTTTGAGCTG